TTTAGTGAATGTAATCTAAATTAGTCCAAAGAATATTCAACTTAGTTTTTATCTGTTTTTCCTCTCAGCAGAGATTAGGCAATAGGACTTCTCAGACTGAAAAAAAATATCTTAAATTTCCCTCTGATTAATTTTACCATTTTGACACTGGAGGGTTTCTTTTGTTCCATAGCCAGAAGGCCTGAAGATGTCCAGTGGCCTCTTCCTTCCCTACACTCCCGCCCCTTTTTTTGGGGGGGGGGCTAATGGTTAAATTTTTCCAAGAACAAATCTGGAAATATGCTTTCCAGGTACATTGTCTCATATTGCAAACAGACTGTGGGTTCTGATTTTCTTTCTTTGATTTCCTTCAAGTAAAATTGTACCTGGTTCAAGAGGAATGGTCTGCCTTTGTTGCTATGTGTTATTCTTGTGATGACTTCCATATCTGGTTAATATCAATACCAAATTTCCCATTAATTTTAGCATGTTTTGGGGGTATTCATTTTCTCCAGGCTTCCCCAACTTGCCCTCCAATGTGTTGGGCTAAACTTTAGGATTAGGCAAAACTTTGGATTCAGTTCCAAAAAGTGTTTCAGAACACCTGGAGCCACAAATATAGGACATGGCTGCACCTCCATTAAGCAGTCACATGATTCCCCAAGATCCCAGGAAAAGATGTGGTTGTTTTAAACAATTCTATATGGATACTATGTTCATGCTCCTCTATGTTCAAATTTTATTTTCCAAATCATTTCTACATTGATAAAATGCTACATTATATTTCTCATCATTCTGAGGATTAATGGAAGTCATTGTGCAGCCTACGTAGATGGCATTGAGTAAGCAAAGCTTCTTTGCTGTTCCCTGATTACTCTATTTGCGGCTTTCTCCTCAAGAAACCTTACAGGGCTGTTTCAACAGAACTAAATCATTTATTTCAGACTTTCCTCTTTGCCTACATCATAAGAATCCATCTTTCATGTTGTAGGTTGTCAATAAAATGAGCTCTATCAACGGCATTCAGCTATGTGGTTGCAGTAGTATGATAACTGATTTTTTTACTGAAAATCTGAAGTTGCTTGTGTTTCACACAAATGCAAAGTCTGGCCCATCCTAATTATTAGCCTGCACAGTTTTCCCCCACCTAACATCGGAGAGGTTGCCCTCTGGTGGCTGGATGGTATCATAACATTTACTATTACAGTATTTGCATGGTTCACATTATTGCTTTTCAAGGTAAACAATGATATGTAAAGCCCAGAAAAGAAATAATAAATAAATAGTAAGAGTATGGGATACAAAAAAGAAAATACAATTTAATTAAATAACACCATTTACAATACCTCTTCCTTGCTATCCTGTCAAACCAGCCTTGCTTTGATTCACATTTAAAAAAAAAAAAAAAAGTCTGACTTTTCATAATCTCATCAACTCTATCTAGCCATAACTCTGTCTTCCCCTTCTGGTCAGCACTTTTACTCTTCCTTCATGTATTTCTTTTGCAATCCAATCTTTGTTCCTCCTTTTTATATGACCAAACCATGTCAACTTCTTTCCCTCCCTTTTAGATTCCATAAGCATGGATTCCAAATTCATTCTTTAACTGACCTTTTTTTGTTTTAACATATACATTTCTTAAGTTTTCCATTCAAGTTCAACCTTGCAATCCCCTCACCTCAAGGAAGCTAAACTATATGCCTGCTCAATCTCTACATAGTTCTTCATGCAAATGACTAGTACAGCTTGTTCCATTTTCTATAAGTATTGACTGGGATTTATTGGAGCTGGAGGACATCAGATTGGTGAAGACTGAACTAATATCTAAGATAGATTTACTATGATACAGTTAAGTATGATTAAAGATAGAATGTGCTGCAAATTGTACAATAACAAAAGCTGTAAGTGAAATTTTGTTCCATCAACGATGTAGAATTTAATCCCATATGATTGTTTAGAATTATTCCATTTAATTCAGAAAGTGCAGGGTTTACATATAGACTTCAAATGTATAGCATTATCAGTTTTCTCTCTACTGTCACTGTTTATTTAAGCGGGGGGGGGGGGAATATGGTGGCTGGAGCCAGAGCATAAAAAAGAAGAAAAGCCACATGAAATCAGAAAATGTGGAGAGAGCCCGTCCATAACATTCCTGAAAATCGGTCATGATTGAATAGATAGCATTCCGGATATGGGCAGCTGTATGTAAAATTAGAGAGTCCAGAGGAGAAAGGAGTCGTCTAAGGTCTTTTTATCCCCGCCACAGCCGCCGCCGCCCGGGCCTCCTTTTGCTTGGCTAAGCACTCTGAGCCAGCCATTTGCAGGCGGAGAAGCTGCTACCTGTGCCTCATAAATAATGGATCACGGCAGCTTGTGAACGACGGCGAGAAGCAGCCGCAAGCCAAATAGAGGAGGGGGCGAGGAAACCTCTACAGCCCGCAGACACACGTGGCCGACGGAGCAGGGCAAGGACTACGACAAGCCGGGGCTCCTGAGCACGCGCCCCAGAGAGGGGAAAGCGCGGCCTGCAGGAGGGCGAGGCGTCGCTTGAGTTCCCACTCTCGGACGGCCTGTCCCCGGAGAAACATTGCAGTCGCCAAAAGGGTTTTTGGGGGCGATTGGAAGATTTTGCTTCCCCAGCCCCAGTTCTAGACTGGTTTCTCTAAAAGAGGGAGTGGTGGGGTGCAGTATCCCTATGGCGGCTTGAAGATGTGTAGACTTCAACTCCCAGAATTCCCCAGGCAGGCGATGTCTGAGGAGGGGGACTCTGCTACCAAGGTGTTTCTTTTTGCCACCCCTGCCCTCAGGAAGCAGAGAAGCAAAACCAGCGGCTGACAGGTGCCTGATTAGCCGCCGCTGCAACAGCTGCCGCCGCCACACCACTCTCCCACACCCCCACACCCCACCCCGCGCTCTGGCGGCTGAATCTGAGGATTTCCCTTCCGTGACAGGGTTTCCTCAGCCTCACGCGGAGGGGGCGGTGGTGTTGCGCTGCATCGGCGGCTCTCTGCAGCACTCGCCCGCCTCCCTCCCCCCCTCCCTCCAGCAGAGGAACCTTTCTCGCTCGGAGCGCGAGCCGAGTCTCCCAGGACTGCGGGGGAAGCACTTGCAGAGGCGGCTGCGCGCAGGCTCAGTGAGATTTCACTGCGTCTCAGGTTCTGGCTTGGGCCGTAGCCAAGGCAGAGGGCAGACGGGGTGCCCCGTGCGTGGAGGAAAGAAATCCCCCCGCCCTGTTTCCAGTAAAATCCTCAGCAGCAAGAGCTTCTCCTTGGAACCGAAGAAGGCCGGCTGGCCCGGGAAATAGAGCGCATCCCTCCTGCTGCTGCTGCTGCTGTTGCCCACCTGCCAATCTAGCTGCAAACCAGCCAGCTGCAAGGCCGACGCTTGGTCGCGGCAAGCTCTGGACACCAGGGGGCAGCCTTGAGCCGCCTGCTTCGCAACTCCCCGAGATTCCCTGCATTTCGCATCATCAGGAAATTCCCTTTGACGCGATGCCTCTGCAGCCTTCTGCAGTGTGCGCGCTCCGAGTGCTTGGCGCTGGCACGCTGCCTGGTTTCCTTTCCTTCCCTCAACCTCCCGCTCCCAAACAGCTTGCATGACTCGCTGTTTACCTTCCAAATAAATAAAGATCGCAAGGTCTTGCGGTTCGGTTCGGAATCGGGACATGAGGTGTTTATATTCAACATAAAAATGGCGGGATGGGAGTAGAGCAAAGACAATTAAGGGACGTTTAAGGGGTCGGCCTCTTCAACCGAAGGATTAGCGAGTGAGGTGAAAGCAGGCGTAGATTTCCGCCAACTGACTTGGGCCTCCCGATCATGCAAGAACAGTAAAGTGGTCTTCCGCGTAGCTATTACCTCGGTCACCCGGTGTCTATATGGGGCACCTCAGGAACAACGTTCGGTGTAAAGAAATAGACATATATGTCACCGCGTTAGACAAGAGAAAGGGTTTCTTCCCCAAGAGAAGAAACCGCTTGTGGAGACACAAGGCGTGGGGTGGGGAGCGCTCCGAGAGAGCCATGTCACCTTAATTGCATATACAAATGCAAGATCTGGGAACTCCAAGTAAGCGAAGCCATTTCCTAATGGCAAATTCAAAGAGGCCTCGGGAAGATTAGAAACTTAAACGTCTCCTAGAAGCTGCACTGAAAAAGGAACCGAAAATTCGCCTCCGACCGCCCTGCGTGCTGCGTCTAAACGTCTGATGGGGCTTCGGCGGATGCTCCGAATTTGGGGTACCGTACCCCAGAGCCTCCTGGCGCTTGGGCCGCCACCGGCTGTTTTGTCTCAGCTGTTTGTGTGAGACACTTGCCCCGCTGCACTAGTGCCGCCCTGCTTGGTGTTTACCCTGCCGCGCGCCCCCTGTCGCCTCAGATTGGAGGAGATCCTCCTCGCCCGGGGCCTGGCAGGTTTAAATAGTACCTCTCGGCCGCCGAGACCGGGAGAGGCGTTTCTGCAGCTTCTGGCCCCTTCAGGGAGACCAAGCGCTCCTCCTCCTCCCCCTTTTCCTTTTCCTTTCCTTTCCCATCCCTTCCAGCCAGACTCTCCTCCTCGCTCTCCCGCCCGCCTCTGCCGGAATTGCCTTATAAGGAGCAGGAAGGCTCCGGCCGGAACAAGGACTTATAAGGGTTTTGCCATATATGGCCTCAGTGTCCGGGGGCTTCCGGCAACCGCGGCTGGAACGGCAAGGAGGAGGGGGGGACCTCGCAAGGAAAACAGTGGAGACCACACCGCAGAGGCTCGCGCCAAGGGACTGGCACGGCGGGAGCCAAAAAAAGGCCCCAGGGCGATAGCGGGAAGCTCGCGCGTTCCCCCTCCCCAACCGCACCACTCGGCTTCCCCCAATGTCGAGCTCTGACGCCAGGCCGGGTCCTCTCGCTTGCCACCATATAAGGGCTTCCTGCCTTCCATATTTGGACATGTACGTCAGGAAAGAGGCAGGCCGGAGAGATGAGACGAGATATATAGAGGCTGCTCTGGGGCGGGCGGGGAGCCGAGAGCTTTCAGCGAATAGATCGAAGGGCAGCCCCGGGCAGGGTGGGTGGGGAGGGAGCCGAGCGCCTCCCGCGGGCAGAGCCAGGGGGAACCCCAGGCCGGCCGCGGAGTTAGCAGGCCCCCAGTGGACCCCTCGGCGGGCGGCAGCCCACCCTCCGTGTAGCCCCGGGCAAAGCCCAAGAACACCCCCATGGCTGCAGCCAAGGCCGAGATGCAGCTCCTGCCCTCGCTGCAGATGGCCGACCCTTTCGGACCCTTCCCGCACTCGCCCCCTACTATGGACACCAACTACCCCAAGCTAGAAGAGATCATGTTGCTCGCCGGTGGGGGGCCACAGTTCCTCAATCCCGTCGGTGGCCCCGAGAGCGGCGGCGGCGGCAGCGGCGGCTTCAATCCCTCCGGCGACGGTGGGGAGCACTCCTTCGAGCACCTCGCTGCAGGTAGGCAGAAGCACGTCCCGCGGGTAGGGGGACGGGACAGATTCTGCTGGGAGCTCCCGTCCGTCTGCTCTCCAGCAGGGAATTCCGCTATCCAGAGGGAGCGGGGAGGGGGGGGGATGCTCCGGTGTGCGTCACTCACTCCGGCCCCGGCCTTCTGCGGCTGGAAGGGCGCCAAGCGCTGCCAGAGGTTGTGCGGAGACACTCGGCCCCTCTGGAGGAAGGGGACGGTCCTCGGGAGACGCGGGCGGCGGGCAGCGCGTGGCCGGGGGAAAAGTCTCGCCTCTTGGAGGCATGCGGGGCTCGTGGGGGTTGGGGAAGGCACCGTGCGGGGGACTGATTTCTGGCCCCTCTTCCCTCGGCAGACACTTTTCCCGAGATCTCTCTGAACGGCGAGAAACCTTTAGCAGAGACCAGCTATCCGACCCAAACTACCCGCCTCCCGCCCATCACCTACACCGGCCGCTTCTCTCTGGAGCCGGCGTCGAGCGGCGGAGGAGGCAGCACCCCGTTATGGCCGGAGCCTCTCTTCAGCCTGGTGAGCGGCCTGGTGGGTATGGCTAACCCCCCGACTACGTCGGCCCAGTCTTCCTCCGCCTCTTCGCCGATCGCCAGCTCCGCTTCTCCCAGCCCGGCTTTGAGCTGCTCGGTGCAGGCCAGCGACCCCAGCCCCATCTACTCAGCGGCGCCCACCTTCCCCAACCCCGGCGGGGCTGACATCTTCCCAGAGCCGACCAGCCAGCCGTTTCCCAGCCCGTCGGGAGCCTCACTACAGTTTCCGCCTCCGGCGTACCCGACGGCCAAGAGCGGCTTCCAGCTGCCCATCATTCCGGACTACTTATTCCCGCCTCAGCCGCCACCGCAGCCGGGCGACCTGGGTCTGGGCTCGGTGGAGCAAAAGCCCTTCCCGGGCCCGCAGCCCTCACTCACTCCGCTCTCCACCATCAAGGCCTTCGCTACCCAGAGTGGCGGCGGCAGCTGCGGCACCGGCACCGGCACTCCGCAGGAGGCCAAGAGCCTGCCAAGCGGCGGCTCCTACCAGGCGCAGCTGGTCAAGCCCAGCCGCATGAGGAAGTATCCCAACCGGCCCAGCAAGACCCCGCCGCACGAGCGGCCCTACGCTTGCCCCGTCGAGTCCTGCGACCGCCGCTTCTCGCGCTCAGACGAGCTCACCCGCCACATCCGCATCCACACCGGCCAGAAGCCTTTCCAGTGCCGCATCTGCATGCGCAACTTCAGCCGGAGCGACCACCTCACCACACACATTCGCACGCACACAGGCGAGAAGCCCTTCGCCTGCGACATCTGCGGCCGTAAATTCGCCCGCAGCGACGAGAGGAAGCGCCACACCAAGATCCACCTCCGGCAGAAGGACAAGAAGGCCGACAAGGGCTCCCCCGGGACCCAGACACCCTCGACTTCCTCCCCTCTGGCCCCTTACTCGGCCTCGACCTGCTCTACCTCGTATCCCTCGCCCGCAGCCACCTCTTTCCCCTCACCGGTGCCCGCCTCCTACTCATCCCCGGCGACTTCCTATTCTTCCCCCGTGACTTCGGCCTTCCCTTCGTTCCCCTCGCCCTCGGTGGCCACCAGCTACGCCTCGATCGCCTCTTCCACCTTTCAGAGCCAGGCGGGGCTAGGGGGCAGCCCCTATCCCTCTCCCGGCGGCCTCTCCAGCCCCTTCGGCTCCTCAGTGACTTCAACCCTTCCCGACTTGGCCTCCACTTTCTCGCCTCGGACCATTGAGATCTGTTGAGAGAAGAAAGGGTCCCAAAAGGGCCTGGTGTAGGCCCGGCTCCTCCGGACCTTTCAACTGCCTGAAAAGCAGCTCGACAACTCCGGGATCGTGGAGTTGCTCCACTTCTGTCCAAGAACTGAACCTTGCATGGATGAGCAAGCGCGACCTTCTTTCCCGAGAGCCCCCGCCCCCTTTCCCTTCTCTCCGGGGGGGGGGGGGGCGCGATCCATCAGAAAGCAAAGGACGCTGGGCTCCAGGCCGTCTCAATTGTGATATCGTGTGCCTGCCCACCCTGCCACGGCTTTGCTTCCGCTGGGGACCCTCGACGTGCCAATTCTTTGCAAATTCATCTTGCTTATTCTTTGGAGTACGAAGGACCATTATTATTATTATTTTGTAAGTTGTGAGTTTTGCTCTTTTAGTGACGACAAAGCTGTACTGACTTTTACAACGTGTCTGGGGGAGGGGGCTCGGGAGTTTAAAAAAAAAGCAGCACTTAAAACTATGTATTTGAGCATGTCAAGAGTGTGATGTTCTTTGTAAATATCACCTTAAGGATGAAAAGCACTCTCATGTGGCAAAAAGTTACTTAGTTTTCCTCCGTTTTTTGTTTTTTTTTCCCAGTCCCAAGTCTTGGTGCCTTGTTGTGAAGCCCTGCTGACGTCATGCATTGGTGTGATTGGATGCTTTGCATCTAGCCTTAAGAGAAAAGGGAAAGTGTGAAAAGGAGGGACTGAGGCTCAGAAACAAAAATGCGAAAGAGAGAAAGGAGCGTAAGGTGGAATGTAAGCAAAAACAAAACACAAAAAACCGTACTTCTTAAAAGTCTATTTTTGTTACAGAAGTGTAAAAATTTATAAATACATTCAGCAGTTGAAATGTTGTAGTTACCTACTGAGTAGGCGGCAATTTTGTATGTTATGAACATGCGGTTCATTATTTTTGTGGTTTTATTTTTGACTTTGTACTTGTGTTTGTTTATAAGCCAACACATTGAATGCGCTTTACTGCCAATGGGATATTTGGTGTACAATAACCTCCAGAAAAGTTAATAAAACTATCAACAGACCAGCAGTCCTGTTTTTGTTGTTGTTTTTCCTTATTCCAGGCCCAGCTTGGCGGCTGCCCTTGCTCTTTTCCATTGGGAAGATGCTGCCAGGGGTGTGTGGGGTGGGGGAAGGACACTTTATTTTTGTGACTCAGGAAGAACTTGAGGAGTTGGCTGGCCACTTCTTTGAGACCCAGTCAGTGTCACCATCACTCTCAATCCCATGACATACTGGAAATCTCTCTCTCTGTGTGTGTGTGAGTGTGTGTTTGTGTGTCTATGTGTGTGTGTCTGTGTCTGTGTCTAGGCACTGAAGCAGGAAGGAGGAATGTGAGCTCTTCCTATTACTTTGATTTTGCTGGGTGGGTCACTGATGGAGTCTCTCTTTTGTCAAGTAAACAGTTGGGCTTAGAAAGAAAAATCTAAAAATGGGGAACCCATGGCTTTCTCAGGGGCCACAGATCTTGCCCTTCCTGGCTGAGGCAGATGGAAATTGGAGTCCCATACTACTTAGGGTTCTTACAACATTACTTCAAGGTACCTGATCCCCCAAACCTACACTTCCATCAATGGCTAACAAACACATGTCTGGGAGGTGAGGGGAAGAGCTATGGATTTATTTCCCTGGGATCTGGGGGGGGGGCTATGACCTCTCAGCTGTTCTTTCCTTTCCCTCCCACACACAGGCCATCATTTTATTCTGGAGACAAGGATCATTTGCTTACAGGGGAGGGGGAAGGGGAAGCAATCAAAGGAGCATCCAAAGAGATTGCTTGATGCACCCTAAATGCAGAAGCCAAGCAATTCCAGAGGCAGTTGGAGAAAGGGGGGCGGGGGAGTGGAGAGAACCTGCCGAGAGGACTCTACAGAATCCTAGATCCTGAGGACTAAGAAGAGTGTGGATCTCAGTTCCATTCCGGGACAAATTTATGTCATATTCCTGCTCCCAGTCTGGATCCCAGCGGTGGGAGGGGGACGGAATCGGTTGTTATTCTTTCCGGATCCCAAGAACTCAGGCAGAACCAGGCAGACTAGAACGCAGTAGGCCAGGTTTCCTTAAACTAAGAAAGGTCGCTGCTCCGGGCAGAATCTATTTAGATCAGAGCCCCGTCCGAGTCCCCTCGCTATAGGAAGCCGCCGGTGAAATACAAGAGCAGCGCGCGGGGGGGGGGGATCCGCGAGCAAAGTTAGGACAAGCCCCGGGCAGCGAGAAGCCCTCGAAGTTGCTCTGCTTTCACTCCCACCTCTAGTTTGGCCGGACTATTTTTTCTATTGAACCTTTCCAAGAGCTGAGGGGTTTCCGAGGCTGCGGCGACGGCGGCGCGAAAGGCGAGGATGCCAAACCTTGATTTCTGTAGGGAAAACAGCTTTTGGAGTTGCTCTTTTATTCTGCAGAAGGCTACAGCTCCCCTTCCGTTCCGGTTTGAGCAAAACACGCGCAGCCTCCAGCGCTCGATCGAGCATGCCGTCCTGTAGTAAGAAGGACCTGCGCCGCAGCCTTTAGACCCAACCTGAGGGGGGAAGGTCCCTCCGAGTCTTCTCCGGGGCTCCAAGCTCCACGATTAGGATGTAGGAAAAACCCTCTTGTCCAGCAAAACAGCTTTGTGGGTTGGGGGCTATCACTGAGAATGGAAATGGAAGAAGTCCTCGCGCCCCCCCCCCCCCGAGCCTAAAGGGGCTTCAGACTATAGCAGAGAATTCTCTGGCGGATCTCCCTTCCAGATCGTGGTATTTCTGGCATTGGTTTGACAGGGTAGAAAGAGGCTCCGTGAACCACCCCATCTGGCCTTTCCAAAACGGAAAATCTTTCAGGTCTGATTCCTGTGCAGAGCATGCAGAATCTTATTTATTTATTTATTTATTTATTTATTTATTTATTTATTTAAATTTATTTATATGCCGCGGCATACCTTCCCCAAGGTAGGCAAACAATTTTTTAAAAAACTGCATCGGACGCATTTCTGCCTGTCCTGAGAAAAGCGCCACAGGTGGACAAACTGGCTTCTTGTCGGAAGCTTCGAAACAGCCTGATTTTCGGTCCCTGCGCTTAGGACTGGGAGAGACAGGAGCTGTGCCTCTGCGGAGCAGCTACTGAAGAAGGGGAGGCTGTCCGCGCCGTCGAACAAAAGGCGTCCCTTGGACAACTCCTCCACCCAAGTGCTCTAGAGCAGTGTTTCTCAACCTTGACCATTTTAAGGCATGTGGACTTCAACTCCCAGAATTCCACAGCCAGCATTGCTGGCTGTGGAATTCTGGGAGTTGAAGTCCACATGCCTTAAAATGGTCAAGGTTGAGAAACACTGCTCTAGACGGTTCTTTGGAAAGCCGGAGAGATATTAGCCTTCGGGTCCGGAACCCCCCAACAAGCAGGTGCCTGTTGCCGGCCCTAGGGGTCCTTGGATACCTTGCTGATAGCCGTGCTCCTGTCTCCAGAGGAAGACTTCTCCCCCACCGCACCCCAGGTTGGGGCAGCCAGAGGATAAGCTGGGTAGGAGCTGGTGTTTGGGGTGGGGTCCCCTACCATTCCTTGTCTTGACCTGGAGCGTATGGTCTAAAACAGTGTTTCTCAACCTTGACCATTTTAAGGCATGTGGACTTCAACTCCCAGAATTCCACAGCCAGCAATGCTGGCTGTGGAATTCTGGGAGTTGAAGTCCACATGCCTTAAAATGGTCAAGGTTGAGAAACACTGGTCTAAAACAAAAGAGGGTGTCAGGTTGGGAATGGGCGGAGTCACGTCCTCAGGAGGTGTCATCAGGAGATCCGAAGGCGCCTCCTTTCTCTCCGGGAGGAAGAGAGCTGGAAGGCCAAGTGGGCGCTGGGGCTTCCCCCGAGGAGAGCGGTCCAGAAGTCCCGCAGCACCAGCCCTTGAAGGGCAGAGCAAGCCGCCTTTGAGGGCGGGCTGGTCGTTTCAAATGGCAGCAGACTTGTTCAGAAGTTGGCCAGTAGCCAAGGAGGTCAAGGCGCCCCGGAAACCCGGCTGAAAAAGTTTTCCACTGGCTCACTGTCCGGATGGACCCTTGAGACTCTTTGTGTCCGCCAGACGGGTGTGTTCAACACTCCTTACACACGACGGTCGGCGGGGGAAAGGCTGCAAAACTCCCGAAAGCTCCCAAGACTCCTGTGGTCCCGTAGACAGTGCGAGAGAAGTCTCCCGGCTCCCCAGAAAAGGACCGGAGAGCTGGTTGCGGGTGGAGGGCTTAAAAGCAACCCAGCGTCTAGGGCAGGGGTAGGCAACCTTGGCTCTTTTATGACTCGTGGACTTCAACTCCCAGAATTCCTGAGCCAGCTATGCTGGCTCAGGAATTCTGGGAGTTGAAGTCCACGAGTCATAAAAGAGCCAAGGTTGCCTACCCCTGGTCTAGGGGTTTTATCCAGCTGCGCCTGGGCCAATCTGGACCGTCAGAAAGTTTGGGAGGAAGGACAACTTCCAGAATCCTCTGCCTGGCCGGGAATCCCGCGCCTTATACTTTCAACAGGTCGGAAGGCGCTAAATTGAAGAAAGCAAAGTTGCATTGCTCGCCTCACATAGAGCGTCCATCTGTTTACAAATAAAACCGCACGTGTTTCACACGGCGCGCTGACCCATTGTTAACACAACCCCAGCTTTCCCGAACCAATTCAGCATTACGCCTTACCAGGACCCTCAGAACTAGGAAGGGACCACCGAGCGGGATTCAGGCTCGGCCGAAAGGGGAACGACCAACTTGGCGAGAAGCGGGTGCGCTGTAGGACTTGGCGGGATCTGTCCCTCCCCCTTTCACCCTTTCCCGACCCTGAGAATAACCTTGCAAAGGAGGCCGAGGTGATTACCTCTAGCACAGTGTTTCTCAACCTTGACAATTTTAAGGCATGTGGACTTCAACTCCCAGAATTCCACAGCCAGCATTGCTGGCTGTGCAATTCTGGGAGTTGAAGTCCACATGCCTTAAAATTGTCAAGGTTGAGGACAAGTTCTAGCATTTATTCGGACGGCCAGGAAGGGAAAGGCGGGGAAAGAGCGCCACAGTGGTAGCTCAGTCTGGCTGAGGTTCGTACCCGGCTCTGCTTGACATCCTCGGAAGCTACTACTCTAGATTTTTTTATTCTGAGCCTGGGACTTAACTTTCGACAGCCGCGGAGTTTGCAGCTTTAATCAGCTGCAGCCTTTCCTTCTGCCTCTTTCCAAGACTTTTTTCAACTTTCCCCCTCCAAATAGGTTCCGGAATTAATTCAACTGACACGTCCGAAGGGAGTCTCCACCCCGGGCTCTGAGAAACGGTGGGAACTCCGGATCTACTCTCCTGAAGAGGGCTGAGTTACGTGGTGCTCCTCCAGTTGGCGGAGGACGCCTGCACGCTCTCCGAGCCAATTCCTCTTTTGTGGCGCCCCTCGGGAGTCACCACCGCCCAACCGCTCCCACTTGGCCACCAAAAGCTAAGGGTCAATGACGAGGTGCAGCGGGCTCCTGCTGCGCTGCCGCGAGTCCTCTAATCGCAGGGAAGGGTTGTTTCGGCCAGGCAGGTTTCATCGGAGTGCTCAGTTTTGGGTGCATCTTTGGAAAAGCACCAAGGGAAGCGAGGAGGTAGGCGGGCCAGACCAGGAAGAGGCCTTCAATAATCTCTGCCGAGGCACTAAAGGGCAAACCTCTACTCTCCCTCTTGTCAACTTTCCCTACTCCGGTCAACAGAGCAGTTCCGGGGACTTACTCCCAGGTAAACAGCAGAGGACGGGGCGAATGCAACGGAGAAGGGAGCTTTACTGTTTTTTGCAGAAGTGGAGTCCTGCATATCAAAGACGGAGATATTACTTCTGACGGAAGCTTTCACAGACACCTGTCAGGATCAATGTGGTGGTAGCCTTTAGGGTGCCGCAAGATTCCTCGCTGGTGCTGCGGAAGCTCCAGAGTCTCGCGATCCTTCAATAAAAAAGAGGTGTGGGGGAGGGGAACGAGCTGACTGGTGGCGTCCAGAAAAGCACGGAGGCACATCGAGGCATGATCCGGGCCAGAAAAAGTCAGCAGGAATAACTGTGGTTCAGACAATAA